AATGCCAAGATTGAGTGACTCATCTATGGCAATAGAAGTATCAGCCATGATTCAAACCCGGGCCTCTGACTCCAGGCTCAGCAGACTTTCCATTGAACCATACTTAGCCCTCAGTTGACCAATGTTTCGTCCATGCTGCCTATTCTCCTACAGCCTTAGTTTGAACTCTGAGCTTCTCAATAGACAATTTCCTAGCTTTAAGCTGTATATTTCATTCCTGATCCATACTTAGAAGACCATTGGTTTGGACTGGGCCTGGGGAAATCTTTCAGTTCTAACCCCAGTTCTTAAGTGAGCTTACATTTGAAATTGTCCCAAATTGATAAAGAGTCTATTGTTTTTGAAGCCCTTTTGAGGGGAATAGAGTACACAGCCTTCCTCTGTAATCATCTGCTGAGCTGGTTTTGCCAAAAGAGAGGATGTGACTCATGCCATTATGTGGCAAGTGAGCCCTGGGTCAGAGCATCTTGAGAAGGCTCAGAGCTATTCTTAGCCTCTTATTTCTTCCTCCAATATTGCCTTCAAGTCCCAGAGCTAAACAGCTGTTTTAGAAGAAGTGTGTGAGAAGAAGAAAGAAAGACTTAAGCAACAATTTGACTTAAGCTTGAGTTGGATTCTGGCTTAGTTTTTTCCATCAGCATTGGAGTTTCCCCACCATCTTCCATGCCTTTACCTTATCATGAGCATAGACCTCACCCCTTCCGAGCTGATCAAAAGTTCCCCAGAAGGGTTTTGTTTAGATTTTGTGTTAGAAATCATGTGATGAAAAGAAAAACTGGCTTTCAAATGGAAATAAATCAATTCTTTCTCTTTTTCACTTTTCCATTCATCCACAGGCTCTTTCTCCCCTTCAGTGATGTTGTGCCACATAATGGAGAGAACAATGTGGGCTGGCCCTTGGGCAGGTTGTTTCTAATGCTAGCTGAAATAGCCTCTTTTTTATTTTTTTCTGTTTTTCCCTATCCTTTGGCAGCAAGTGGTCGGTGCTGAGGCTTGGATCATAGGCAGACTTATTTGGAACTCCTTGGAGGCAGATAGAAATAAGACTGGATGATATCCCAGTTTCTATTCCTACACCTCCTCATTTCGAAGAAAACTTTCTGCCTTCTATCTTTCCATATTTATCTTTCTTTTCTCCTCTGAAATGAGTGGAGTGATCTTTAGTGATCTGAGAGGATAAGTCTCTGGCCGGTGATGATATCAACAGTTTAGCCAGAGGACGTGATTGTCTCATTAATTTACCTGGGAGATTTTGTTATTAGAAAAGGCACCACTAGGGTGGCTCTTGAATTCTTTACTCCAGGCCTGAACAAAATTGCCTTAGTCAAGTAACACTTGAGGTGGTATTATTTTCCCTTTGTTCATCAGGATCAGGTTTTCAATGACACTTCTTCCACAGTACACATTCCCTGGCTACTTTGTGCCATCTCTGTCCAGCAGTCAGATTTAATGCTTGTTGCTACTTCAGGTCATTGGCTGCAAGAAATGCCTGGCATGCTCAAAGGTTTAGAGCTGGAAGAAAATTTAGAGACTGCATAACTCAACCCCTTTATTTTATAGATGAGGAAACTGAAGTGACTCATTCAAAGTCACACAGACATAGTAAGTGGCCGAGATAAGATTTGAACTCAGGTCCCCTAGTCCTCTTTCCACCATAAAATGTCCAACCAAGAAGTCTTCAGAACTCAGTGTGTAGGGACTGGACATTGTGAAGCACAATGGCCCGCTATAAGAGGTGATGGAACCTTTGTGTGAATTTCAGGATGGTACAAATAGAAACACACCGGGAAGTCCAGGCTGCTGAATTATCTGGTGGAAGACAAAAGAGGATTTCATTCACGCATCTGAATCTTTTTTTAATTCCAAACCAGAACTCTATTTTTTAACAGTTGTAATTAACTTTCCACCCAAGTCAACATCAGTGCCACATCTTCCCTCTTTGCTTTGTTCCTTTCTAACAAAAGCTTTAGTATGTTGTGGCTCTGTCAGAGGTAAGGACACTTCCCTTGCTGGGGTAACATTGAGGAGATTTGCAAGTGGTATTTTCTGTAACTCTTTCTGCTTTTCATAAAATGGACTCCTCTGGGGCAAGCTTTTCTTCCACTGGCTTTTCTTTCTTCTAGCGTGCTTTCTAAACCACCATATGTGTATTTTCAAGTCCAAGACAATTATGTGACTAAGCTAAAGGTTTATCTGAATTTAAGAAAATAGCTAGGATCTCAGCGGTTCAAGCATTCTGGCTACTCAAACTGAAGCTATAGTGGATCTGAGTGCAAGCTTCATTTCCCCCGTAATCCTCTAGCTCCACCCTGTGACACCCCACCCACCCACCATATGCACTGCATAATTATCTCTCCAATCTTCCCTGGTACTGGCTTTCCCAGTAGCAACTTGGGGTGTCCTAGAACATCTGCCTTCTCCTGCCCAGGAGGTAGTATCTCAAGATTGCTCCCTTCACAGTGAATTGTTTCTCAGAAACCCTCTCCCTAAAAATTCCAGTTACCCTGGATGTCAGAATTGCAAGTTACAGCTTAGTTGGGCACATTGGTCTTATAAAAATACAGGTATACATGTGGTATTTGAAGAAATAATATTGTGCATGGTTGGGTCTTGCTTTATTTGCTGCTGCCTTGGCAAGAAGTTCTCACCTTTATTTCTTATCCTGAAGCTAGCCTTGTCCTGGCAATCCATATGATAGTCAGTAGTTCTTTGCTTTGTAACCTACTGCAAAAAAAGTGGTGGGGGGAGCATTCTGGTTTAAGATTATATTCTGTTTCCATTAGTTGTGTTTGGATATGTGGTGCACTTCTAGGGGAAATGGAATATTGTGGCAAATGGCCACAATATTCTGCATAAGCTTTGTATATATAGAATGTATGTACATGTACCTTGCACAGCCATGGGGGTCTGGAGAGAGGGAAGTTTAAATTGCTCCACTCTTCCCCAGATTAAACTTCAAGGAAGAGTTTCCTGTTCCATAGAGTATCTTGAATTGGGGTTTTCAAAAAATGTGCCACAACACCATAGGATTCATCTAGGTGTGACATGGACTGTACAGTACATGCTCTTGCAACCCCAATGTGCTTGTGGGAATCTCATGGTAGGCTGTACTTCCTGACAACAAAGAATACTACTGTGCCATGAGCAAAAAAGGGCAGCTAGGTGGCACAATGGATAGAGCACGGGACTTGGAACCAGAAAGATTCATTTTCCTGAATTCAAACCCAGCCTCAGACACCTTACTAGCTATGTGACCCTGGGCAAGTCACTTCACCCTATTTGCCTCAGTTTCCTCATACGTAAAAATGAGCTGGAAAAGGAAATGGCAAACCATTCCAATATCTTTGCCAAGAAAACCCCAAATGGGGTCACGAATTGTTGCACATGACTGAAACAACTTGATAAACAACAAATTGAACAAAAAAAAGTTTGAGAACTATTATTGTGGCTTATTAACATGCTTTAAAAAAATTATGACAATTCACACATACACATCAAATATCAATGACTAGGTGATGATTTCTATAGAGAAACAGCTTGTCTCCTGAGTGACTAATGTGAAAAAAAAAACTAACTGAATGTTTAATTCACATCTGCCAGGAGGACAAACTGGAAATCCAAGCAACCAACATTTATTAAGTGCCCACTATGTGCCAGGCACTGTGGAAACAAAGACAGCAATTATAAATCCCTGCCCCCAAGAAGCCTATGGTCTACTGGGGGTGACCTGTTGTCCATATAAATAAATTATTAAATGTATGTTGCCTTTAAAATAATTAGAAGGACATGAAAATTTATGGTATCTCAATGTGTATTAAATGGTAGGCAGTCTTTTTAATGCATGCACAAAATATTGACTTAGCAATGTGGGATGAAGACTAATATTGAAAGATTTAGAAAATAGACAGCCACTGCTAGGTATACTTGGAAGACAGAGAAGTAGACCATGAAAATATGCTGAATGACCAGAGTTGGAGTCAAAGTCCCAGGCTTTTCTTTCTTGGAGAAGAATGCCATTCAAGATGTCTCTAATCTTGTCTTGTAGTGTGCATTCTGTCTGTCCCTTTACATTTGCCTTAAGAAACAATCTTCATGGGATTGGTGTGTGCAGGACAGGTACTAACAGCCAAGTTTCACTAAGCCAAAGGTCAGTCATTGGTGCCATAGTGCTTCCACGTCAATCAATAAGCATTCATTAAGCACCTATTATTTGCAAGCCACTGTGCCAGGCACTGACTGAATAAAGACAAAAACGTAACCATCCCTGCCCCCAGAGAGCTCCACTGTGTGCCTGGTCCTCTGTAGTGATTCCAATCCCTTCTGATTGGGAAAGAGTAGGCTGGTGGTAATACAGAGAGTGCATGTGATTGATAATCACATAGATTGATATAAAATAGGCCAAGAAAGGAACAGGAGGAAGAGATGCTAACATCTAGGGAGTTCAGGAAAGACTTCCAATAAGAGGTGACACATGAGTGAAGGAAGCCAGGGATTCTGGGAGGTAGACATAATGAGGCAATACATTCTGGGTGCTGACTAACTGGACCTCCATAATCAATCATGTCTTTACACAAACTCATATCCTGGATTGATATGGGAGCTGGAAGGGACCTTTGGAATCTGTGAGTTCAACCACCTAATTTTTCTGATTAGGAAACTGAGTCCTAAAAACTCAAGTGACTCACTCAAGGTTATGCAGTTAGTAAGTCACAGAGCTGGGATTTGAACTCAGATTCCCGACTCCTAATTTAGCCCTCTTTCCACTGTACCATGAGGATCAGGGAGGCCCAGGTAAGGTGATGGCATCTGTCCTGTTGACATTTGCCCTGATTCAGAAGACTATTTTTGGTCTTTTGATGCTAATTGGGCATGGAGATCTGGGGCCTTCTACATGGGCTTGATCCTGAAGACCCCCAAATGGCTGTGCAAGTGATTACAGTATACATGAAATGAGGCAAAGACCAATTAGTATTCACTGTGTCTCTTTTGATCGCTCACAGGTGGAAGAACGTTCTAGACTCAACCGGCAGAGCTCCCCTGCCATGCCACACAAGGTTGCTAACCGGATATCTGACCCCAATCTGCCCCCTCGATCTGAGTCGTTTAGTATTAGTGGGGTGCAGCCTGCTCGGACGCCACCTATGCTTAGACCAGTGGATGCCCAGGTATGAAAGCTCCTGAATCTGACCCTGGAGATCACCTAGACCCAACCCACCTCACACCCATTCTACAGATGGGGAAAGTGAGGCCCAGAGAGATTACAGGACTTACTCTTAGTCAAGCTGTAATTTGAACTCAGGTCTTTTCACCACAGATCCAACATTATTTCTATTCCAATGTTCATCATCCCCCGGGAACCCTGACAGATCTCAGGTCAAAAAGATCATTAGAACCTGATTACTTGTGTGTATGTGTGTGTGTGTGTGTGTGTGTTTGTACTGTATATCTATTTGTGGTCTTAACTTGCAATTTCACTGGCACAGAAAACTTCTTTTGTGGAAATTTCCTCCACCAATGCAGATCTGCAACCTATACTCTTAGAGAGTTTCTTCAGGGGCACGGAGAGGTTAAGTAGCTTGCCTGGAGTTACACAGTCAGTGGCTGCAGAGATCATTCTTGAACCCAGCTCTACCTTACTTCTATGCTGATCCTCTATCTGCTCATTATTATTTGTTTCCCCAATTATAAGACACCTTTAAGATAGCTAATAGTGATATCAGTTCACTGATTACCACCATTGAAATCATGACTGGCCACATAATCCACACCCCAAAAATGTCTTGAGTAAACCATAAAGAAGATGGGGTTTGTGCCAGTACTAGGGTTAGGCAATACCATGGCACTTGAAGATGGAGGAAGAATCGGGGTAGATCCCCTACCTGGATGTGTCCAGTTTAAATAAGAAAGGATAGAGGTTCCCTCTGGTGTGCCCCATAGTAATTTCATTCCTCTTGGGGACCGCATTTGCTTTGAACCTTATCAGAAATTAAAGACATCTGACTATAATGGGCTGTTCCCATGTGGCAACTTATATATTGTCTTTAAATGTGAAGTCCAAACAGCCCTAGCTCTGCTACTCACTACCTGAATACCGCTGGGCAAGCCATTTGAACCTCACTTTGCCTGCTTTCTGTCATCTGTAAAATAAGGGCTCTGCCCTCGATATTTTCTCAAATATCTTCTTGCTCTCGCCATCTATGTTCTACCTGGAGCATTGGCATGGGAATATAAGCAGGGAGACAAAATCCAGATGGCTGGGTCTTCTGTGTTCTTCATTCTTTCTTAGCTGTGGTACAAGAAGTGAGAAGAGCTACTTTCCACAGAGACTTTAGGGTTTTTAACCATGAACTACTTAAAATAAAACTTTCAAGAAAAAATAAAGGAAATAGTGCTATTCTCATCCAAATGCACTAGATTTCTCCCAGATAGTCTCAAATAGGTAAAAATTTCCACCAAATACTTTGCAGCAGAGTTGCCGGCCAATGAGCATCTGACTTGGCTGGTATTTTCACATTGAAGTTGGGTGCTATTCATTAATATGTCAGGCTTTGGGGGTTTGAATTTCATGAACTCCTCCTTTAAGAGGTAGTGTGGTATCCTGAACAGAGTTGGCCTCAGGGTCAAGAACACCTAGCTTCAGATCTTCTCAGATTCTGTAACCTGAGGTAAGTCATCACCTCTCAGTACCCCAGGAAACTCTCTATGACTAGAAGTTACAGAGCAGGTACTGATCTTCATGGGAGTAGAAACTTCACAGCAGAGTGAATGAAATCACAAGTCCAGTAAAAGCAAATAACCCTTCTCCCTTGAGGTCATCTCTGGAGCAAGTTCTCATATTTGGATGGGGGCTTGGAAGGACATGAGAGAAATTAATTTCTTTGGGAATGCATTCTCTTGTAATTCATGGGGACTAAGCTTTTTCAAGACCAGTGCATAAGATCGCTTTCTTACAAGTCCTTTCAGTTGTCTCCCATCATCTACTTTAGTAAGGTTGTGTTGTATTGGGGGCTCAGGCCAGAGCTTCTCTTTCTTACCGCTAGTTTTACCTCCATAATGTCACTGTTCCACTTAAGGGAAGCAAACACCTTGGCAATTACTCTGCTAGTGATAGAAATAGCCGGGGAACAGATCAATAAAACATTTAAACACATGGAGAAGAAAACAAAGACATTTAATAAGGAACAGGGCAACTTTGCTACTATTTTGTTAAATTTAATAGACATTTTAAGAAATAAACAGAGTAGAAGTTCACAGTTTTGTAAACAATAAAATTTTTGTTCTTTGTATATTGAAAATCTTGATTATTGTTAAGTCCACAATAAAAAAAAATGTTTTAAAATACTTTCCCAAATATGACCCCTTTAAGAGGATCAGTATTTTTTAAAGATGTTAGAGATGTTCTTTTTTCAAAAATTGGAGTGGGCAGAGAAGCTTTCTCCCTTTGTTTAAAAATGAATTGGTATGTTGGGGTATGCTTGGCAGGAGGAGCAGTTTGCTTTGTTACTTGAGATGTCTTTGGGAATTATTCATTGAAGAATTATTACACGATTGAGACTTCACTCTGTCCAGTGGCTCTCTTTGAAATTTACTTTCTGAGTTGGGTTGAATGCCATCTCAAAATGTTCAGCAAATGAACTTAACTTAGGACTCAGAGTTCCAAAATGGAGGTCAGATTCAGCCTACTGGTGCCAAAAGTTTTCTTGGTCCTTAGTGGCTATCCTGAGATGGTCCTATAGCCTTCCAAGTTTCCATGCCTCTAAAAACCACAACATCCAACCAGAATTTGAAATCCCAATATAGAAGGATGCAGGTCAGTTGCTAGGACACACATAGTATTATAGGTGTTAGCTGTGTACTGAAATACTAGCATATTTTTGAAGATTTTTTTAAATTTTTTTCCTTTAATGAGTTCTTAGCAGCATTGGACAACCTATTTAACCTCTCTGTGCCTCACTTTACCTATCAGTGATTCAATGATGAAGACAGCTACATGATTGAACTATATATGTGTGTGCATACACACACACACATATACACAATATGTATATGCATCAAACATATTTGCCCCATTGAGCACCTACACATACTTCTAAATTTTGGCTTGAGAACTTTTTAAGAATGAAAAGCCATCAATACAAGGGATACATATAATTCCATCCATATACCAGGATTTTTTTCCCCTTTAGTTTAGTTTCAACATCTAGCTGATTCTTTTTTCCCCTCCTAATACTGATGCTCTCATTTTGGCTTAATGCTTAGATTCCACATCTGGTAACGGTGAAATCCCAAGGACCCTCCCTCTCTGCCTCTCAGTCAGTGCATGAGCAACCCACAAAGGGGATAGCAGGGTTCCAGGAGGCTCTGACGGTGACGTCTCACCGTGCTGAGATGCCACGGCAGAACTCGGATCCCACCTCTGAAAACCCTCCTCTCCCCCCACGCATTGAAAAGTTTGACCGAAGCTCTTGGTTACGGCAGGAGGAAGACATTCCACCAAAGGTAACACCACTGAGGTGTTTGGGTTTTGGGGTTTTTTTACTTAATTTATGGGGATTTTTTAGACTACTTCTACTAACATCCAAAATTTCGAAGAGCTAGCCTTGGAGTTATATTGACAAGGAATTTAACTCTTACAAAATGTCCTTTACCATTCTTATCCCTCGTTATTCTTCTAAACAAGCCTATAAGGTAGGCTGTTTCCTGTCTTTTTTTCACAAAGGAAGAAACTGAGGCACAGAGAGTTTGAGTGACTTATCAGCACACACCTGTCCAGGATTAGGAGCCCAAGCCTCTGATTCTCCAAAGCATTGCATACACTTTCACATGAGACATTAAGTAGTGGACCTCTTGATTGTCAGCTAAGTCTGGGTTTTACTTGACACAAGAGCATGAAAATGAAACGTGACACATTCACTCAGTCATCTACATCTTTTGTCAATGGAAAGGCAAACACCAGATGTTCCTGAGGATATTTTGACCAGCCTTCTTAAAGACACCATGGACGCAAACTTTGTCTGACTCTCTGTTGGACATCTTGGGAGCCAGTCTGAGGTTCAATTTGGCCAACACTACAGCTTATGATTCTGATTCAACAACCAGATGTGATGAATGTCTAGAACAGTTCCCAGTGCAGGTCATCTTTACCATTGGTTAGGAAACATCCCAGGGAGGGGAAAGAGGAGGAGTCTGAAAAACAACCACAGACAAACTGTGGAGGGCTACAAAATACTTTGTACATGACCATATCTAATACCTCTTTACATGAGACGGTGTTTTGTAGTAGCTAAGGTATCAGCCTCAGAGTCAAGAACCCTGCCTCTGATACGCATGAGCTATGCAACCACGGACAAGTAAGTTAATTAATCTGGCAACTTTTGTCTAAGACAAAAGTTACACACCAGTTACCATTGCCAGTATGTATGGTGGAGGGAGTTTCCACAATGGGTGTTCCATTACACCAATGAAATTACAGGTTCAGGCACCTCACCCTAGCCCTCTCTCCTTCCCTCCCTCCTGTCTTCTCTCTCTCTCTCCCTCTCTCTCTCTCTCCCTCTCTCTCTCTGTCTCTCTCTCTGTCCCTCTCTCCCTCTCCCCCTCCTCTCTCGCTCACACACACACACACACACACACACCCTACCCTACTCCTCCCCCACAAAATGTTAGAACCAAGAATAGTTCAAGCTTTCTGAACATTTGTTTTAGAAAATCATAGATTATAGATTAGAGGCGACCTTTGAGGCCATCAATTTTTCTGAGGAAACAGGGTCACACAGCTAATATGAGGTGAGATACAAACCCAGGTCTTTCTGAGTCCAAGTCCAGAAGTGTTTACAATTTGTGTTTTCATGTGGTACTTAAACCATGAATTTCTCACAGAGACAAAGGCTGACTTTACTCCATTGTAAACTTGTCTTAGGTCCGTGATTGTCTCACTTTCTCAATCCTCCTAATGCCCCATATCAGTTCTCCACTAAAGAAGCTCATGAGTCCAGATTTCTAAGTTGCTAAGAATAGAAATGGACCGGAGTGTGTTTGTTTTGGTTTACCTAGAGAACAGAGAAGCTAACCAGGAGGAATAGGTGTGGAATAAAGTGAAAACATGGAGGGACTGGGCAGAGAAGCAGTCTTGGGGGCAGCAAGCCAGTGGTAGCATAAATGAGAAACAGCATGGCAAAGTAGATTAAAAGCTAACATTAGAGTTCAGAAGACCCAGGTTCAAATGCCGACTCTGACGCATACTGGCTACTTAACCCTGGGCAACTTACTCCCCCCAAGTCATGTCAGCAAGCACTTATTAAGAGCCTACTCTGCTAAGCACTAGGGATACAAAGAAAGGCAAAAACAGACCCCACCCTTCAGGGGCTCACAATTTAATGAGGAAGACAATGTGCGAACAAGATATGTAGAGGCTAACTTGAAACTAATAGCAGAGGGAAGGCACTAGCATCAAGGGGACTTGAGGAAGGCTTCTTACAGAAGATAGGACTTTAGCTGAGACTTGAAGAAAGTCAGGAGACAGAGGGAGGAGAGAGAGAAGTCTAGGCATAGGGAGCAGCTGACGCCCATTCGCGGAGTCAGGAGATGCAGTGACTTATTCGAGGAAGAGTGAGGCGGTCAATGTCACTAGTTCATAGACTAGGAGAGTAGCATAAGGTCCAAGAAAATGAGAATGTTAGCAGGAGGTAAACTGATAAAGGGCTTTAAAAGCCAAACAGAGGCAACTAAGACTATAGTAAAGAAGGGCTAATCTGCTTTGGTAGAGGAAATTTCTTACCAGGACTCTCTTCACCAAGAAAGATACAGACAGGTCTGAGAGAAGGAAGGAAGGAAGGAAGGAAGGGAGGGAGGGAGGGAGGAAAGGAAAGGAAGGAAGAGAAGGAGGAAAGAAAGAAGGAAAGGGAAGAGATGGAAGGAGGGAAGGAAGAAACAGAAGGAAAAGGGAAGGAAGGAAGAAAGGAAAGAAGGAAGCAAAGGAAAGAAGGAAAAGGAGAAAGAGAGAGAGAGGGAGCATGACATTAGAGACACTGGTTCACATCATTGATATCTACTTTTAAGACTGGTGTGCCTCACTTTAAGAAAAGTAGCTGTAGGCAGATCTGAACTTAAGAAACAAACAGATGGTGATTCATTCAACAAAACCTCTTTCAAAAGTATATCCCAGGCTTTCCTCAAATAGCAAATTTCCCTCATGCATTTAAAATAGTTCTTTTTTTCATAGTACTTAGAAATACATCTATTCCATAAATTGAGGTGTGCCCACATCTACCCTCTGACCCTTCCCAGGTGAAAAGATGATGACTTTCCTACCAGTACCATTATGGTGATACTGTATACAGTCTTTTAATTAAAGATAGTCCTTTTTATTCATCCACATGAGTGATCTTGTTTTATTACACTTCATATTCCAAAACCAACTGGCCTCTTAAAACTAAAACAGGTCTTTAAAAAAATTGTGCTTACAAACTCAATCTGATATGGAAAATGCCCAAAATGCACAATTGATGTCAGGAAGCTGGTTTTGCAGTTGGCTCTGTGACTCCACTGGTGACAGGGCTCCCAGATGTATGGAGTATGACCAAGATTGTGCCCTGATACCCAGGTTTCTTTCCTCATTCTCATCAGTCTCTTATTTGCCCATAAGCTGTGGGAGAGATAGGAACAGGGTTCATCTTAATCTGCATAACTCCCTTTTGCTGCTTCCTTGCCTGTCTGCTGAGGCACTCTCCTCCTTGTCTCTTTGTGTCACCCTCCCCAACTAAACTATCACAGCAAGATCAGCGAAACTGAGCACCCATTCTGTCAGCATGTTTACCTACTCTTGCCAGTACTAGGATTAGATCGAATTTACACATTCTCAGTCTAGTGCACAATGATTCAGACCATTTTCATTTCTCTGTCTGTCTCTGTCTGTCTCTGTCTCTCTGTCTCCCAAATTTAGATCGCTTCCCCTAAAAGGTGGATTATTTTTAGATTTCACTCAAGGAATTGGATGTTGGACAATGGGAAGGAGGGTAATTCTGCCCTGTATTAGATATTTCTTACAACTTTAAGGGTGAAATTTATATTTATCATTTATCTACATCTCCATATATCTCTATAGATAGATGACTATATATGTATTTTTATAGATATGGATATATAAGTTTATTTCTATATATTGATATATCTATATATATAGCTCTATATAGATATACATCTTTATATCTATATATCGATATCTGCATCTATATAGATTTGCATATATTGATAGATTGATGGATGTAGAGATATAGAGATAGATAGATACATACATACATACATACATACATACACATGGATGTAGATAAAGATATATCTTGGAAAGGAGTAGAATGTGGACTAGGGAGATTTGTTTGTAATTGTCCCTCCTTAACATCTGGAGACATTCTGATTTTCTTCCAGGTGCCTCAACGAACAACTTCCATATCACCAGCATTAGCCAGGAAGAACTCCCCTGGCAATGGAAATGCACTGGGACCCAGACTTGGATCACAGCCCATTAGAGCAAGGTAAGGCAATCAGATCAGAAGACTACAGAAAATGTTACCTCCAACCTTGTCCTTGTTTCTTTCCCCACTGCTTTCATCACTATCTTTATGAATTCCTCTGTATTCTGGGGCCCAATCTGTACTGCAAGCTCTTTGCAAGCAAGAAAGGTGCCTTCTCTTTCATTCATAGACTCCAAGAGTGCTCTGTATACAGGAGGGACCCAATCAATACTTTTTGATTGAACCAATTCATGCTAGAGTAGTAGAAATTGAACCCAAAGTGAAATGATTGGAGCTATGTTATGATGCTCTCAAAACTGATTTCAATGACCAATTAAGCAATGAGGAAGAAGTAGTTATACTGGTCAGTGGGTTGCTTCACTTATGCTTGGGAGTTATTGAAATGCTTAAGATTAAGAAATTAAAAAGAACTTAGAGACCATCTAGCCAATGGTTCTTAACCTGAGATCTGAAAATTTTTAAAATATATATTTTTGATGACTATATTTCAATATAACTAGTTTCCTTTCTCATCCCATGCATTTCGTGCATTTAAAAATATTATTCTAAGGAGGGCTCCATAGGCTTTGTCATACTGCCAAAGGGGTCCTAGAAATACAAGAAGTTATCCAATCCAGCACCCTCATTTTTACAGATGGGAAAACTGAGCCCTAGAGAGGTGAAATGATTTGTCCGCAGTCACAAAGTTCATAGCAGAGTCACAGCTAAAACCCAAATCTTCCAAATCCAGATCCTATATGCTTCGCACTTCAGGTTGATGCCTCTCCAATTAAAGTAATGGCAGAAGAAATAATTACATATTAATCAGCTCTGATCATAGTGAGCACCTTGAGGACAGTGACTATCTTCTCCTGAAGTTCCCATTCTAATGGGGGAGACAAAATGCAAACAATTATGTTCATACAAAACAGATATGGGGTGAATGAAAGGTAATCTCAAAAAGGACATACTAACACTGAGGGAGGACACAGAAAGGCTTCTTCTAGAAGGTGGGATTTCAACTGTCTTGAAGGAGGCATGGTATAGAAGTGGGGTTCGTAACCTTTTTTTGTCAGATTCCTTTGGCCATTAAATGCAAGAAATGAAATACATAGGATTACAGAGGAGATCAATTATAGAGAAATACAGTTATCAGAATACTAAAAAAAAAAAAATTCACAGATACCAAGTTAAGAACCCCCGATCTAGAAAGATGAGAGTTAATGGGCAGTTTCGTTCTCCCCAATTGACTCTGTAATAGTGGAAGAAAACTGACTCTTAAGAGAAAATCCTGGGGATAAATGTTACCATTCTTTGTGTATCTCCTTAAAATATGGAATGATTCTGCTCCTAAAGGCTTAAGTTTCCTCTCTGCATGAGCGGCAGCCTTAGGAGCTGGTCAGTCCATAAATAAGATGGAACTGTGCAGGGAGGCGGTAATCTTGAGTAGTATTAGCCACTGCAGTCGACTTTCAGTGAGCCATTTTCTCCTAGCTCCTCGTCAGATTCATTGCAGTCCTGTTGTTGTAGAGCAGTACCACGTGGGACAATGCAACTTGACCATGAAGCCAGAGGAATGTTGATATTGCAAACAGGAACTTTCTCACTCTCTCTGTTTAGGCACTGATAAGTCTGCAATTGTCCTTATGTCTTCCTCTTTTGAACCTTGTCCCCAGGGCGCTCTTGCTTGGCCACTTAAATTAGAATGTTAGAAACGTGGTCCAAGAATGTTGTAATCTCAGGCTTTTTTTTTTCCTTTAATAACATAACAAATACAGATATGTAGGCAATCGAATGAACAGCAGTTTAAAAAAAAAAATACATCAATTTTGTGCTTGCTTGTATATAGAGCACCTTGCCGACTCCTGGAGAGACAGAAGGGAAAAATGATACAGTTCTTGCCCTCCAGATGCTTACAATCTAACAGCAACCTTCAGTTCTAATTCAGTGACATCCTGAGAACTAAGGAAAAGCTTAGACATTTTTGTAGTCTAGTGCCAAGAATTCTGGTCTGAGATTCAGAAAATGTGGGTTTGACACTTACAAGCTGTGTGACCCTGGGCAAGTCACTTGAACCCTTTGTGCCTCAGTTTCCTCATCTGTAAAATAAGGATAATCACTTATATTACCTAACTCACCTGTTCTTTCTGTTTCCCTCCCGAGTTTTATAGATGCAATTATATTTATTTATTTATATTTATAGATACAATATCGATTCAATTACAATTACAGTTGGTAAACTTTAGAGAACTATATATAAATAAGAGTTATTTTTTTTTCTAGTTTGCTTCTAGCAGACTTCATTTATTTCAGTCAGATCCTTCAATGTGTTTTTGGATGTTTCCAGGGTTTTGGAGAATGCTGTGGGGCCTGGCAAGGGGAGGAGTTGGTTGTATCCTCTTCCACGGTCACCTGCCTCCCTTAGCAGTGGACAGGCAGGGATACTAAGGAAATGGCACAGTAAGAAGAGTGGATTGGGACTGAGAAGGCTCGGGTTCAGATCCCAGCCCTACTCACTTTTTCCTTTTGTGCCCATTGACAAGTCCTTTCTCTTCTCTGGACTTGAGTTTTCTCCTCAGCAAAATAAAAGGGTTAGACTAACTGATCTTGGAATCTTGGGAATCTTCATACAGTGTGGATGGGACTTGTTAAGCTTTGAAACATAACTTTTAGTGTAATCAGGAGCCCAACAGGTCACCCCTACATCATAACCCTTGCTGCCAACTCTCTCCTGTTGGCCAACATTTGAGGAATGCATTAAGCTTACACAGCCATTACTAAATCAAATTGGACCAGAGTCAAATAGGCATTAGGTAATTATAGTCGAACTGAATTTGTAAAACTGAGAGGAAAAAAACATCAAGGGCAAATACATACAAGAACCTTTTAGCTCATAGATTTAGAGTTGGAAGGGACTCTATAGTCACCAAATCCAATAGAGATGAGGACACTGAGGTTCAGAAAGGGTCACCCAAGTAGTAAGCGACCAAGCTGAGATTTGAATGCAGGTCCTTTGACTCCAAAGCTAATGCTCTTCTCTATACCACACTGCCTACCCCCGACCCCCGCTTTGAGATTCCATTAAGATTCTATATAATTACAGTATACAACAGTACATGATCAAAGCATTTAAGAGGTACAAGATGAAATGTGCTATGAGGTCCAAGGGGAAAGTTTATTGCTTCCAGAGGGAACAAGAGAAGGCTTGAAGGGTGGAATGGGCAAGGGAACAATCCCTCGGGAAGATAATGTGATGCTCATGTTAGCATTTGGACTCAGAAACACTTTCAGATAAAATAGTTGGTGGTTTCTGGAATCTTGTGATGATGCTGTTTCTAGCAGGAGGAAGCACGGGAAGTCCCAGAGGATAAAACCTAAAGCAAGTCAAAGGACTTGCTGATGCCATGGGAATGTACAAGTATCAAGGGGAAAGGACACCGTAACGTACTACCTAAGAGGACCATGAAAAAAGTCCTCACTCAATGCTATCAAATGATCGAAGAAGCAGTAAGGGACCTCTCCAGGGCAGCTAGGCGGCTCAGTGGATAGAGCACAGGCATGAAGTCAGGAAGCCCTAGGTTCAAATCCAGCCTCAGATGCTCACTAACTGTGTGACCCTAGGCAAGTCACTTAACTTTGCATCTTCGGCTCTCACATTTCTTCTTCTTAAACCCTATTTTCCCATATTTTTCTCTCTATCCTCCATGTTCTCCCCCTTTGCCTAAAAGTCCCTAAGGATCAGAGCATGTGTGGACTTGCCCTGGATGGATTCATTAAGTTCTTCACAAAATTTTCCTCCTACTTCATCCTCAGCAAATGATATTGTTTCCTAGTCTACACATATCTTCACTGTTTCTTTTTTGCAGATTCTTCCCATTGATACTGTAATAAATGATTGTCATGGTAGCCAGGTGGCACAGTGCATAGGGTACCGGGTCTGGAGTCAGGAAGACTTGAGTTCAAATCTGGCCTCAGAAACTTACTAGCTATGTGACCTTGGGCAAGTAACGTAACCTCCCTTTGTCTCAGTTTCCTTAACAGTAAATTGGGGATAATAACAGCATCTACCTGGCAGAGGATCAAAGGAGATAATATCTGTAAAGTGCTTATCACAATAGCTGGCACATAGTAGGCATTGTATAAATGCTGGCCATTGTGAGCTGTGATGGCTAAATATCCTGTGAAATAATGTAATTACAAGAACACCTCTCACTTGAACTATGCACCAGCTTCCTAATTTGTCCCCAGCTCTAGATCTCTCTCCTAACCCCAAACCATTCTCCACTCAGCTGCCAACTCAATTATCCTCAGGCATGGCTCTGTCCATGTCATTGCCATGCTCATGAGGCTCCAGGGGCTCCCTACCTTTAGAATCAAATATAAAGTCCCCTGTTTGGCATTTAAGAGTATTCATCACCTTGCTAAGCCTTTCCAGAGTTCACATGAATTATTGCCCTTCAGGAGCCTAGTTCTTGTTCCTCACAATGAAATTCTCTTCCTCATGTCCATGCCTTTGTACTGGCTGTCCTCCATTCCCACAATGGTCTCTTTCCTTCTCCCTGGCTTCTTCTGAGACCCAGCTCAAACTCCACCTCTTCCATAGGAAGCCTTCCCAAGTCTCTCTTCCACTTGATTCTCCTCACCAAGGCGACCTGCCTTTTCTTCTGTATGTATTTTGTACGTACCTATTTTTTTTTACACTGTCTCCCTCGTTAGAATGGAAGCTTCTTGAGGGCAGGGACTATTTTTGCCTTCCTTTGTATCTCATTGCTCAGCATGCTTTTTGGCACATTAGAAACACAACTAGTAAGGATCTGAGGCTGAAATTGAACTAAGCCCTTTCTGACTCCAAGTCTAGCATTCTATAGGCTACACAAAACTTTCATACTCACTTCCTTTCCAGCAGAATAGAACCAGAAATGGGTGAGCTGGATTTCCTGTGGGACTTTGGAAAGATCCTTTATGTATCTCTGAGCTTCCCATTTGAGCAAAGACCAATCTATCATGGCAGAAATGTTACT